TTACACACAACCAATACTCAATACGCACAAGCTCATGAATAAAACTATAAAGCATTAAAAACGGGAAACATAACTATAATCAAACCTTATAAACAATTAACTCACACTTACCCTTGAAAGAGCATAAAACATCATAAGATGACGGAGGAGACCCTATTTACCATTCCTTGTGACATAACGCATTAGTAAGCCACAAACTAATGTTATAGGTGCATTACTTATAGAGATAAGCTCACATTGACATCAACAATATCCAGTCTATAGTCCAATGAGATGATAAACTTATAGATAAGTGCACATTGACATCATTCCAATCCAATCTATAGTTAAATGAGATAATAAGCTAATAGATAAGTGCACATGGACATCTGCCCAATCCAATATAGTCAAATAAGATAAAAAGCTCATAGATAAGTGCACATTGACATCAACCCAATCCAATCTATAGTTAAATGAGAAAATAATCTCGTAGATAAGTATACATTGACATCAACCTAGTCCAATCTATAGTCAAATGAGATAATAATCTCGTAGATAAGTGCATATTGTTATTAACCCAATCCAGTCTATAGTTAAATGAGATAAGTGCACAATTTATAAAAAGAAACTGTCTTCTATTACTATGGATCCATTACATTCTAGCCATAAAATTACACGAGTCCAACTGAATGACTAAAGTACTCAAAACGTATATGTATATTATATAATTATGTTATAATTGCATATAATTCCAAAAGCTTGTTTCGTAAAGAAATTCAAAATGGACGAAAGTCCCTGAAACTCATTTAAGTCAAAACCGAGCCAAAAACTCAACGCATCTATTGAATATCAAATAAAAGTCATCAAAAAGAATAAAACTTATTTAACCAATGTTTATGCAAATACATGTTATAATTGCATGTTTAACTCAAAAGCTCATCATGGGTCGAGACAAACTATTTTCCAAATGTAACATCTCCCATTATTTCCAATAGGTCTCATAGCACTGTAATATGCATTTTCCAAACGGTTTATAAAACCAAATACACTAAAATGCATTAATATTAAATAATCTCCATTTGTACAATAAATCACCAAAGGTATATATTCTTGAGATTTATTCATCAAAACATTCAAAAACCCAAACATAAGCATTTTACATGATTTATAAACCAAATATACAAAACTCACCAAATAATCCACATTTGATAAATAGTAAGTATAACATGTTAATACTTTAAAATGAACATTTTTGGCATTTACATATTTTCACAATGCAACTTTAATTGACCTTACTAAGTTAGGTTAAACCTAGGTTTCAAATCCATTTGTGTTTCCAAAGTTTCGGAGACTTTAGATCCACAAGCAAAACTTCCAGATGTATGATGCCAAATCCTCAAGAACACATCATCTCCACCTTCTACCAATAGGAGCTCCATATCCACCAATAACTTTAACCCTCTTAGATATTACTTTAAGGAGCTTCAAAAATCGAAACCATAGCAACTTGAATTGCCCAAATCGGAGTAGAAATGAAGAAAAGTTATTCCCAAATGAAGTTTAATCTCGAAAATCAGATTTTATTGTGCAGGTGCCCCTCTTGGCGACCCTGACATGCGATAGTGCCCTATGGAACTATAGCCCCAAAATGTACCAAGAGTTATCTCCCTGGTGGTCCTAGCGAGCGTGACATGCTATTGTGCCCAATGTCACTACCGTCGAGTACTATCCCGTGATCTGTATCGAGAGTTTTTTCTACTTTTCACCCATTGAGCCTTTTCTCGCCTAAAAGATGACACCCAATATAATCCGACTTCAAAATACTTAACTCGACTATTCTGAGGGTGAAATATATAAAAGACTCGGGATTTCACCTTATGAAGATCCAATCGCTACGTTGTGCCATTGTCACAACTACATGGCACAATCGTCGGGAGGACCAAACACTTGATATCACCGGTGCTACAGTGACAAATGTCACAACTACATGGCACAATAGTCGAGACAACCACACTCTCGGTACCATTGATATTACTGTGACAGACATCGCAACTACATGACACCCTAATCATACCCCATAATTGATTTTCCTTTACCAGATCACTCAGCTCAACACTTTCTTTAATTGGGACGAAAATCAGGATGTTACAACCTGAAACCTGATCGGATATTGGATTTTCCCACCCAACCCTACCCGTCCGTTGCACACCCCTATTGTCGTTAAATTATATTGGTGATTACTGATTACAAGAAAAAATGTCACATTGAAACCAAAACGATTTCATGTAGGCTGGGAACTTATTTATCAAATATACATTAAAATGAAATGCTGTTACACAAATTAAAAAAAAATCAATGTTATATAAAATACAAACTTTGTCACATTTTGATGTTTTTTATTCTATTTGAGTTCGTATAAGGCAGTTAAAAAACCAACCAATAGTTTGTTTCTTGTAAGGGATATGCTACCCGATCAAGGGGACTTGGGCCTAAAATGAGACCATACAGACCCAAAGGTGACGAAAACACATATGCCAACCTCAGAGACCTATAAGAAAATCTACGTGTCTAAGAAGAACATGTTTGAACTAGAATGACAAATTTCTTGATCTTGTTTGATTGGTCGAATTCCATGGTTGTAGAATTTGATCATTCTTTGGCATAAGTCAAAGAGTTTAAATTCCAATCTGTGGTAGATATAATGAATTTCATAGTTCGATTTTGAAGACAAAAAATAGCATCTAAATCCAATTTAACCAATGCCGCCACCACCACCGAATCGAATCTCTTTAGAAAGAAGATCGTTTGTCTCATGGTAGCCTGCTCCTTAGTTTAATCAATAAATTAAAACCAAGCTTACCGGGGCTAACTAATAAAAGGTCCAGAGCTGGAAGTGATCTCGCCACCATCACCGCCACCATCTTTCATGTTTAACCAAGTTTTCGTATATTCCTTGGGTGTTCATATTAAAAAAAAAATAGACTATTAACAAGGATATTGTTTACATTTCTATATAAAAAGTCGTTTTGAAAAATAAATCTATATTTAACTTAGAAAATTATAAATTTGTTATTGTTATTCTAAGTGCTCATATAATATGATTTTTTTTTATATGAATCAAAGGAAATATTTTTAGAGGCTCTTTTTACGATAATTGTCACTGTCCTCACTTATCTTATTGGTAACATTTTTAGCTTAACATATTATTGATAAGTGAGAGGCTGTTTGTTTGGCTCTTAATGATGACATTAAGAGCCAACCTCTTAATCAATAAGAGGTAATGGCTGTTTGGCCAAAAAAATGAGCCTCTTAATGGTTACATTAACCTCTTAACCATTTTGTGTCTAGGGCTTCACTAAACCATTCAGATTTCAATTTTTCCAACTTTGCCCTCTCTTCCAGCCGTTCCTTCACATCGCATCCCCCTCCCACGATAGTCGCTCTTCCATTCGCCGTCTTCCAGCAGCTCTTCCGGTCGCCGTATCCAGTCGCCGCCCCTACTGCTTCCACGGTCACATCGCATCGCATCCCTTACCGCTCTTCCGGTCGCCGCCCCTACTGCTTCCACGATAGTCGACTCTACTGCTTCCACGGTCGTCGGTGTTCCCTCCATCCTTTTCCACGATCGCCGTTCGCTTCAGGTATTTCCTCGCTTCCCTACATCTGCTTCCTATACCGTCTCCTTCGAAGATTTGATAACAAAAAAGAAACCAACAGATTAATATGCTTTTCATAGTAGTTCTTGTCTTCTGTTTATGTATGTAGGATGCCTTTTTCATTAATGAGAAAGTGTTGGGGGCATCATGATTTTGTTGTATATGCATAAGTGACGTTATTTTCGTCCTATAGAAAATTAAGCACATAGGAGCTTTTATCACATAAATGACATTATTGGCCCTTGTTGAGTTGATCGTGTGTCAGTTACATGGAGTCCTGTTATTGATAAAGTTTCTGGTGCTATAGTGTCTTTGTATGTTATGATATTGGCTTTGAGCAATTGTTTTGCAACTATTGCATTCTTGTGTCAAAAAAGTGTTGGAGGGAAAAAATAGCATTCAATTCTGAACACAACCATGGCACTTGTGTCAAAACGTTGTGATTGCCTGTTTTGCAGTTCATAATTTTATAAGAAGATGCAATATCCACGATCAGTTATTCATGGATTACGACAATGACCCCATGTTTATTGCCGAGAGACAAGAAGAAATCGAGGGAGGCGATGAAGATGACAAGGATGGAATGCCTTTTGGTGCTCAAAACAATCAAGATACGGCTAATTTACGTGACCAGATTGCGAATCAGTTAATGTTAAATCCGTCAAATTAAGAATTATTCAAAAACTATTATGTTGGAATTTGATTGTTATGTTTTTGTTTATTCCTGAATTTGAAAAATTATGTTTGCTTGGATTATATGAAATCTTGTTTTGAACTAATAATGTTATGTTTGTTTGAATTAATATGAAATATATAAAATAATTGTTTTATTTAGATATCTGTCAAACAACTATATTTCATTCAGTACTAAATCATACAAAGGGTTAAAATAGTAATTAGTTGTCATTCAGAGAACAGTTAACAAACAACATTATTTCATTCAACATTAAATCATACAGAGGGTTAAAATAGTAATTTGTTGTAATTCAGAGAACAGTTACCAAACAACATTATTTCATTCAGCACTTAACCATTCTGGCCCTTTTAATCATTCTAACCACTTAACCATTCTGCACCAAAGCATTCAGCAACCGCCAAACAACCCTTGATTTTTACTATGTAAATGCTAATCAGGTATAAAAAAATTCAACCTTTATCATGTCTTTAACTAAATAAGATTTCGAATTCTTACCACATTCATCTGATAAAATAAATACTACCTTACAAATATTTACTCATCATTTTTAATTTTTATCAAATAATTGTTTTCCCAAAATTTTAAATAATTTAAGATTTATTTATTTGGTTGTTGATCTGGTGGAAGTGATTACCTGAAATCTCAGTATGCTGACGCCCTGTTCTTCCTGGGTTTTATCGCCGCCTCGTCCCCCTCCTCCGTCTCTCTTAAATTGTTAATAAAACCGAAATCTTTTCTCATTCAAGAGCAAGAAAAATCTTTCAGATTCTTGATTTTATTTGATTTTTGTGAAGAACCATGATGCTGATTCGACAATTCAAGTCACCACCTCCTTGCAATTTCCCAATCTCTACCTCAAATTCCACAACCCCTTTCCAGAATCACGACAACAACGTACGTTTTTCAATCAAGAACAACAATGGCAGCAGCAGCAGCATTTCTTACACTGATTCTACTTCGAAGAGAAGTAATCTTGATGATGGTTCAGCAAACCCATCATCGTTAATGTCGTCATCTAAATCGCCACCGTATCCTGGTGGCATCGGTCCGTTTACGGGTAGGGATCCGAATGTTAAGAAACCGGGTTGGCTCCGGCAAAAGGCTCCACAAGGAGACAAATATCAGGAGGTTAAAGATTCTTTGTCTCGCCTTAAACTGAATACCGTTTGTGAAGAAGCACAATGCCCTAATATTGGGGAGGTATCTCTCTCTTTCATTTACATATTTTCTTGATTATTTTATGATTTTGTTATTCTCCTCCATAATTAGATGAACAACCAGCTGTAAATTGAGCAATTTCCCGTTTGAGATGTATCTTTGCTTACCAATTTTTCAAGATCAATTCAATAAAAATTCCCATTTTCAGGTGTTTCTTCAGGAGTATTTGAGACAATTGCTATTTATTTAATTGATCTTGTTCATAAAAAGTCCCTTCTTCTGTCATTGTTTAATGATACTTGAGACATTGCTTTATTTGATTTTGTTAAAAAGAATCTCTTTTTCTGTCATTGTTCAATGGTATTTGAGACATTTGCTATTGATTTTAGGTGAAACAGCTTTTTCTAACCATCATGGATGTAGTACTATTGCAAAGTAACAATTGTTCTTGCTAAAATCCATATATATATATAGATGTATGGTGTGATGAACGATTTTAGGCTACTTCCATTGGTTCGTTTGCAGTGAAACTGCAAATACAATGGCTAGATAACTCATTCACTCATGAATTTTAGTCATTTTGTTCATAAAAAATTCTCTGTTCGTACGATATTCGATGATATTTGAGAAGGTGCTATTTGTATTGTTGATTCTGTTCAACAACAATCCCCTTTTCTGTCACTATTCAATGGTATTCGAGACATTCGCTATTGATGTTATTGATTTCATTCAACAATTATCCCATGGTATTTGAGACATTTGCCATTGATGTTATTCAACAAAATTCCCCTTTCTATGTCATATCCAATGGTACTTGAGACGTCTGACTTCAGTTAAACAATGTCCCAATTTAAACGTTTAAAACTTTCAAGAAAACAAGCAAGTATTTTCAAGTTGATTGTTTTTTTTGTAACAATTTACTGTGTGTAGTGTTGGAATGGAGGTGGAGATGGTATTGCAACTGCTACCATCATGCTTCTTGGCGACACTTGCACCCGAGGATGCAGATTTTGTGCTGTCAAAACTAGCAAAAACCCCGCACCACCAGATCCTATGGAACCACAGAACACCGCTGAAGCCATTGTGAGTTGGGGGTAAGTCCTTATACATTCTCCCAAAATAACCACAATATGCCCAAAATAGGGGAATCTTGTAGGCTGAAATCCATATCATCATCATCATCATCATCATCATTATCTAATTCTGGTCACTGTTGGTGTCCGAGCCAGCTTGAAGATAACAGCCAAGATTGTCCCCAACGAGGAGACTCGAACTGGCGACAAAGGTCTTTGTTTTCCGGTTGAGAGCCATAATCGAGTATTTATCCTTTTTTTGTTTGACCTTGCAGTGTGGACTATATTGTTTTGACCAGTGTGGATAGGGATGATCTACCAGATGGTGGGAGTGGTCATTTTGCTGAAACTGTCAAAGCAATGAAGGTACATAAATTTATGCATCTCATTTAGAAACACACACTACAAATAAAGGCCAGGCCTTTGAGCCCCTCCCCGTAACTGGGAATTTTTTGGGCTGTTATCTTAAAGATCCCATGGGATTAGTCGAGGTGTTTGTAAGCTGGTCCAAATACCCACAGTTATATTTGAAAAAACTAAGTTGTAAATAATAACGACATGCATGCTTCCATGTGTCTGCAGAAGAGCAAGCCTGAGATTATGGTCGAGTGCTTGACTTCTGATTTTCGAGGTGATTTAGAAGCCATATCGATGTTGGCAAACTCAGGATTGGATGTTTTTGCCCACAACGTTGAAACAGTTAAACGACTGCAGCGAATCGTAAGAGATCCACGAGCTGGGTGAGTTAAAAAATTCTTGTTCTACCACTAAAATAGTCAAATGATCTTACATTTTATTATTACTATTATTATTAAGGAAGATCAGTTCGTGCTCAAGGCGATATTTGACAACCATAAGCCAGCTTATTTTTGAGCTTATTGAAAAACTCCCTTTGATAAGCCATAAGCTAGCTTTTTGAACACGTCTTATTTATATTGTTATTTAGTTTATCAACTAGTTTTTATCAAACGATACTAGTTTGTAGGCTAGCTTCACAGCAAACAGCGGTAAGCACATTTTGGTTTGTGCAGATATGAACAGAGTTTGTCGGTCCTGAAACATGCTAAACTTAGCAAGGAAGGGATGATAACTAAAACATCGATAATGCTGGGACTTGGAGAATCTGATGAAGAGCTGAAGCAAACAATGGCTGATTTGCGTGCCATAGATGTCGATATTTTGACTCTTGGACAGTATTTACAGGCAAGTCATCCATCATCTCTTTCTGAATCAGTCTGTCTGTCTTCAGCACACTAATATTCAAACTTATATATATGTACATACGTGCAGCCAACTCCATTGCACCTTACTGTGAAAGAATATGTTACACCTGAGAAATTCGACTTTTGGAAAGATTATGGGGAGTCCATCGGGTTCCGTTATGTAGCAAGCGGACCTCTGGTATCACTCCAATTGCCTCGTATTTTCTTAGTGCAATTATATTTGAAAACATCATCATGTATCTGATTGGAATGTTATATAGGTGCGATCATCATACAGGGCGGGCGAGCTATTCGTTCAGACCATGGTAAAAGAGAGGAGCAAGAAATCTTGAACCTGATTGATCTTAGACAAGGATTGGATGGTCTACCCAAATTCTACACCATACAAATACACACAGATTCTTGTGTTTCTTTATAAAGAATGTTATTATTGATTGATATGTATGTACCATTGGTTCTCTTTCAAAAGCAACAAATCCATCAATGGACTGGAATTTCTATTTTTGTTAAATTTAAATAAGTTTTTACAGGAGAAGGAAGGTTCAGAAAAAGACTAGTATTCAGTGATAGATAGATACACGTTCTTTCTTGGGACCAAGGAGTCTTCAATGCTTACACCATTTAAAATCCATAAAATGTCAAATCGATTAAATAAATATATTATATTTATTTATTATTATTATTATTATTATTATTATTATTATTATATACACGTATATTAATAACATTATATTATATAATTATATATATTTACTGTCTGCATATATATGTGTGTAATTTGTATGTGTGGTGGGAGGTATATTTTACACAATATTTTCTTATTATATTATTATTATTATATATCGATTTTATTATCTTCTTTTATGTTATATATACTAGAACGGTACTCGCACAATATAGATTTATGTTTTAAATCTTCATCTCGATTTAAAGTTTTGCTTTATTTATTTTTGTGTCAGTCGATGTTATAATACAGTTTTATGTGGTTTGAGAAAGCGATAATGTTTTTATTTTTGAATAAATAAAATATAAAGATATCATAAAACTTTGAAAAAGAAAATTAATATTAATACCAAATTAACTATTCAAAATATATCTATTTTTTTGTATATTTCTTTAATTCATTTTTTTATTTTTGGTTTAATAATTAAGTATTTTGTTAAAACTCAATGATTATCCTAATTATATTTTAGATTTTTTATATTTAAAATGAAATGTTTATCTTTTATTTGATTATGTTTATCTGCAGTTAGTTAGACGAATTCAAACATAAAGCTTTAGTAACTTGTACTTGGGCACAATTTACTTGTAATATTGAATTTTAACTAATATGCATCAATAAACAGTACTTTATTCATAATAAACAGTTTTTAAGAGTTTTTATCAAATACTTTATAATATAGTATATATATTATAATATTACACATATGTATTAGTATTAAACTCTCATCATAATTATTTTAAAAAACTTAAAATAGTATAATCTAAAAATTAATTTTTATGATTAATTATATATTTTAATAAATAAGATATTTATAGAAATCATATGTATTGAATTTAAATAAGGGAAAAATTCAAAAAACTAAAGAATCTGTTCCATTTTGAATATTATCAAGTTCTTGAACACTTTTTGATTGAATAAGTAATTGAACTTTTTTATGTTGAATGATTAAGCCGATGCATTTTTTAAATGATTAAATAATTGAACTTTCTAGAAATTGGTTACTTAAATTATTTTAACCCAAAAAAACTACTTGTATTGTTGTAAAAGTGGGAGAATCAAAAGATTTCTTGATCATTTTTTTGACACTGCTATTGATGTCCCTCTTTTTGATTCTTTTTTTTTTGTTTTTTGGATTCTTTTTTTTATCTGTCTATATATATTCCATTATATTGTTGTATAAGAGAGAGAATTGAAAGACAAAAAATATTAAAAGAAAATATGCATTTATAAAAATTCATGTTAATTAAAATATAATATATAAAAAATCAATAACTTATATTAATCAAAATTTCTTTAAAATAAAACAAAAGATAAAAACAACAAAACACAAATAATAATAATAATAATAATTAAAGTAGAGGTAGGGGTGTCAATAACAATCGATAAGGATACAATTAGTCTCGCCTTTTTTAAATCTAAATAACGTATAAAATTACACCCTATCATCCAATTTAAAGTATTTTTGTTTCAAATCCTAGAAATTAATAAAGATATGTAGGAGGTGTTTATGATTGCTTATTTGAAACAACTTATATTTTTCTACAAAAATCATTTATCAACTTATTATAAGTTAGAACGGTTTAACTTCTTCAAAAACTCTTTATTCGGTTTGGCACCGGTATAAGCTGTTTATCCAAATACTCAAAAATGCTTATTACCGGTGTCACACCGAGTCTGGAATAAGTTAATAAGTTGTTTTTATAAGCAATCCCAAACACCTCCATACTCTCTATACTCTTTCTTTGTGTTTTCGAGACCTTTTCTATGAAAGAAATAAAAAGAAGTGTTATAAATATTCCATAGAAGAAAACAGAAAAGAAAATTTTCCTTCAAATATCGTGAAGTGATCAATTACTTTCTGGGTCGTCTTAAAATGTAAGAAAATAAATAAGCAAGAATACAAAGTTACCTATCAGAATTAAATACAAGGTGTTGAAAAAATAAAAATAAAACATATATTTGTAATAATAATAATAATATCTTTTTTCCCTTTTTTTTATTTAAAAACATGAAAAATTCTTTTATTTCCATTTTATTTCGAGAACATAAATAAAATCTTTTTTCCCTTCCATTTTTCATCCTTTCTATTTTCCCGATTCGAGAATATATCGTTTTTGAATAAAAAAAGGACACGTATATTTCGAATCCTCTATATTATTTTAAAAAAAGATATATTGATTTTATATAATATATTTAAATCAATAGTCTATTCTCGTTGGCATGTTTTTCAAATATGAATAAATTTTGGTCAATAAAATAACTTCACAACACGATTGATTTTCATACGTAATTATTATATACATATATTTAATTGGTTACGCCGTTTAAAATAAAAACACGTAGTTCCTTAGGTTCAATTTTTCATAGTCTACAACCTAATTCATTAATAACATTATCATTTTAATAAAAAGAAAAAAAAACATTAAATTTATATTTTTATTACTAAATAATTTTCAGGTCGTAGATAATGTTTTCGGTAACGTAAAATTATAAATACATCATGAACTAGTAACGAAAACGATGGTATGATTAATACTTGACCTATTTCTAAGTCTGAATTGGACTTTGTTTCAATAACGTAAAATCATTAACCTATCACGAATTGATCATGAAAATGATGGTATAATTAATGTCTGACCCGTTTGTGAGTCCGATTGCAGCTATAATTGGACTCACAGTAGGCTCGATGGCTCGACTTCATCAGTATCTTTTTTTTTTATTAACATGAGATATCCAATTCGCTATGCGAGCCGATTAATCCCAGGACGACCAACTGCTTTGCAGATAGTTCGGAGTCACCGTATTTGAACCTCCATGGTCACAAGGGAATTTTTATTTCTTCTTGGATTTGAACCTGAGAACTCCTGGTACTTTTGATCTTTGTAACCAAGCTCAAACCAATCAGACATCATTCTTGTGGTTCTTCATCAGTATCTTTTTGATATGATAATTCATAAAATAAATTATTAGACTCATATAGCTTTAGTTTACACTTTTAATTTTTAGATCTAAATTTATATACATATGTTTTACACATTATCATTTCTAAAAATAGAAAGGCAAGAACACACCTAGGAAGACAAAAAGTTACACTAAAAATAAAAAAGGAAAATGAAATGAAAATACAAAAAAGATAGACACATAAGTTTTTTATTTTACAAAATGACCACGAAACTTGTTCTTTTATCTTGAAAAATAGGTTTTCGGCGAGAAAATCCTCCTCGGCGAGAACATCCCCATGTATCTCGGAGAAGCAAGTCCGTCGATCGTCCGGTAATTCGGCATTATGTATCCTTCTCTCTCCGGCGTCATTCGGAGTCCATTGAACGTTCCATATTTCTTCAGTTTCCCGATCCATGACTTTTTCTTCGGGGAGTTCTGATGAGCTCCGGTCATCTTCTCACTCATAAAATTCCTGATTGCTTGTACACCTTGCTCCACCACCTCCGGTGGTGGAGACACCAAAGGGTTCCCTTCGACGCTGAGTTTCTGGAGCTTTTTCAGGCAGCCCATGGAATCCGGCAAGGTGGTGATCTTGTTGTAACTGACGTCCAGTTCGACAAGGGAGATGAGGAGGCCCACGGAGTAGGGAAGTTTATCGAGGTACTGGAAGTTCTGGCTGACGTTGAGGATTTCGAGGTTGATGAGGTTTTCGAGGTCGTCCGGTAGAGAGCGGAGGCGGTTGAGACGGACGTCGAGGTGGCGGAGATCGGTGAGGTGAGAGGTGGAGGTTGGGAGGTAAATGAGTTTGTTGGAGTTGACGGAGAGTTTCTTGAGGTTGATCAGCTCAAATCCAATGGTGTCCGGCAGTGTTGTCAGCTGATTAAAATTCGCATTTAAATCCTCCAGTGCTCTGTAATTCAATTTTCAAACAAAATTCCATTAATTTATACGTTTCAAACACTTTCTCTTAAATCATCATCATCATCCCAACTATTATTTACATCAAGGTAGAGAAAGGAAACATCATATAATATATAAAAAAACCTGCAGTTTTCAATGGTTTTTGGGAAGGATTGGAGATGATTTCCAGAAACATTGAGAGTCTTGAGCTTTGCCAAACAACCAATTGAATTTGGTAGAGTCTTGAGTTGATTTGAATGAACATCCAACACCACCATATTCGTCAATCTTGCTGCCAATGACTCTGGTATTACCTGCACATAATATATAGTTAAGACATGCATGCACTTTTTCTTTTCCGAAGAAGAAGAAGGGTGTATATATATATATATATGTATGTATATATAAATGGATGGATACCTGGAGATTGTTGTTGGAGATATCCAAGATGAGAATGATGGATAAATTGAGATTAGAAGTGATGGGGAGGGTGTCTAAAGACATGGCACTCAAATCCACAACCTCCTGCTTATCAGAAGCTGTTTCTGCACCCATGGTTTTTTGAGAGGATGATGAAGATGAAGGTGAAGGTGGAGATGATGATGAGAATGAAGATGGAAGCTTTTTATGGTGGTTTCCAAACTGCTTTCTTCTTGACTTTGAATAGTCCACCTTCATCATCATCATTTGCTCACCCTTCATCATCATCTTTTAAATTAATTTATTCTATTATTATTTATATCTTATATATATTCAACACATAGATACATGCATATATAGATACATACACCAAATTTTCAAGATTCAACACACCCAAATGGGGGCGTTTTCTGTATGATGATTTGGGTATGAATGAGAGAGAGAGAGAGGGTTTTGAAAATGGAGGAGAAATTAGAGTAGAGAGAGAATTGACTTTTGTGCTGGAAAAATGTAGAGAAAACGAAGTCTAGAGAGAGAGAGAGAGAAAGAGATGTACGGAGGAGGAGGATAAGAGGTGGAGAAGTACAAGAAGGCGTATTTTGCGTATAAAATGTGATGGTTGACCCTTTTCCACTTCCAACACACCACTAAAAGTCAAACCATTTTAAAAAGATAATCATCATTAAAGTATCATCCTATTACAATTTTCGTCCATATGCTTTGTTAAATCTTCCGATTAAGTCCCTATAATTTTAAATTTATGTATCCTTAATTTCCTATCTATACTATATTACAAAGCATTTGACAAAAACTTTTAAAAACCATTTTTTATGCATGAAGTACTATATATTGATGCATATTACTTAAAATTCAAGATTACAATTAAATTATGCATATGTACAACTTATTAAAGCTCAATTTTTGAATTCGTGTAACTAACCGCTGATAAATATAATCAAATATATGATAAATATATTATTTTAAAATATAGAAATTCTAAAATATAATTAGGATAATTATCGAGTTATAACAAAATAATTAATTATTATGTATATAAGAAAATTATATTAATAAATCAAATATAAATTTCTTCGTTATTGAACCTAAATTAAATTATAATAAAAAATTGAATTAAAAAATTACACAAAAAATATGAATTTTAAATAGTTAATTTGTAACTAATATCGATATATTTTTGTTAAATTGTTATGATATCTTCAAATTTATATTTTGTTCAAAAATAAAAACATCAAAGCTTTTTCAAAATCACATAAGATCATAATATAACATCGACTGAGATAAAAAATAAAATAAAATATTAAAATCAAGATGCATATCGTTGCATTGCACGAGTACCTTTCTAGTTTCTTACAAATTTAGTCATTATCTCTGATGATGTGTTGTTAAAAACTCTTTCGTTAAGTGTTTCATGTGTATTTTATTTGAGGATATTTTGATTATTTTATTTTTTTTATGTAAGTTTGAACCGTATATGTACAAATGTGTAAAACATTTAAGAAAAAAAAAACGTAAATGAAATCCTTCAATGCAACTCCTCCAAGATTATTGTTGTCGCAAATGGTTATTCCTCAGTTCTCAATGAGGAAATTCTATTTAAAACTGTTTCTCGATGACAGTGAATTAGAGATGCAAAATTTTGAGTTAATCGTCAATCAAAATCTCATGTGGTTATAGATCTTATTTTTGTTTTAGGTATTGGAGAGTACTTAAGATTCATGCATTCAGTATTAGCTAATAAGGAGTCAATAATATATGGAAAATAGTAGGTTTGAAATCCGAAATATAATTAAGTTGGATCGTCTCATATGGTTGACAGTTTTTTTCTTTCAAAAAGCAGGAGTTATTTTAATTAATAACAAGAAATTTAATATATTCTAATACAGAAATAGAATTTATGTGGACGGAATTAGGGGTGCTCAAAATACTGGCCAACCAAACCCGAAAAACTTAAAAAACTTCAACCCGATGTAATCCTACACATACTTGATACAAAAATATATTATAATACATCTATTGGGTTGGGGTAATTTGAACCCAACACAACCCGATGAACCTGATGATTTTCTATACTACGGATTTAATATGGTTGTCAAGTCCTTGATTAATATATGTACATTAGACCAACCCGTAATTAGCTATATATTTAAATTATATTACAATTTCAACTGCAATTTTATTTTCTTATTTGCATGAAATTTCAATCTTTTTTTGAGTTTATTAGTCTTTTTTGTATGTTCTCATTTTAATTTTACTTCGTTTAAACAAAATGTATAACTAGATTATAGAAATATCTATCCACGGACAGAAAAAAGGGTAACGTACGGATATACTTATCATTTTCACGTCTTTGTCAACACAGTTGAAACATTATGTACGATAATAATATATAACATTACGTCTTTCATAAAAAACATTAAAACGATATAATTCTACGTACCTTACGTCTTTAATCTGTGTGTTTCTTATTATTAAGTTATAAATGCCACCTCATATACCATGGTACCTATCTTATGTACTTTAGGATAGTTGCAAATAACCCCCTTGAAGTTTCGTTTATTTTAGTAACGATCTAAATAAATACTATTAAACTTATATATACCCTGTATTGCAATTAAGGCTTTTAATTATCTTAACATTAGGGGGTTTAAATCTTAACAAGGTCGGTAATTTGCATCATGGGTTAACCCTTTAAGAATCGAATGTTTTACTGGGTCAAGTGATATATCCGTAATTACTGATTTTAATTAATATGAGAGACAAGACAAGAAACCGAAATGTTCCAGAACATCATTAAGTCATCTGTCGTTGACATCCTAAGTTTTAAAAATATCAGTATAATAGAATAAATTTGTCATCAAAATCCAGCAATGAAAACACAAAAACGTACACAGATATAAAGAAGTTGATTTCATGAACTTATTCGGTGCTATGAAGGATTGCTAACCTCTGATATTAACGATCATGAGTTAACTAATATGCTTTGTGGTTAACACTATCTTTGAAAGGGGGCGTTTTGAAGTATTATTCATAAGAAAGGGTGTGAACTAATATTTGGATAACTATAGGGAAGCCTTTGCCAATTTCAAGAATTTATAGGGGCCCATATGGAAACTGAACACAAGATGAGGGTCCCACCACAACTAACCTCAATTATTATGACAGTTAATATTCGTCCGTATACAAATTATTAAATAGGAAAAAAAGCATGTTCAATTAATTGAAAACTATAGAAGTTGTCTAAACTTGAAAACATAAATAAAGAAGACGGCCAGGTTTAACTTTTCTATGTCAAATTGTTGAATAAAGAAATGTATGTGTTTTTATTCCATTTTTTTATTTTGATAAATGGTACATCAAAAAAATGTTATTTGGCATGCTTTTGTTGTGTTATAGCTGAGATTCAAAATGACATTTACAATATATACACGAAAGATCGTGGAAGAAAAAAAGTTAAGGTGAAAAACGTAAGCAAAGAAGTCAATCCTTGATTATTTTTAATCACGTGTCCATCTATGAATTGTGTTTTAGAAGGGAATTGTTCTGGTACATCTCATTAGTGTTGATTTGTAATTAGAATTTATACAAGGGTGAAGATTCATTCTTACCATAACTGTCTTCTCACCAGAACCTAACCTTATATATATATATATATATATAGGAGCGTTCAAATAAAAATCACTCCAATTTGTAAAAACTACTCTCATCCATCGTTAATCTTATGAAATTTTTTCATATACTACTTAATGAAATTTTAATGAAATTGTTTCATGTATTTCTTTAAAATTAAAATAATGAAGATGATAACATCCATGATTAACACCCTCCACAATRAAAATGGTTAATCAACCTCTCATAATTACAAAAAAATGAACAAAATAAAAAATTATGATTGATTGAATGAGGTTTTCACGGTTTTTACAAATTGAGTGGTTTTTATTTGAACTCACCCCTATATATATATAGGGTTGGGTTCACATGAGACCAGCCTGTTTTCGTGAGACCCGTGAGACCACATTTTTACACGTAACCTTCACAACAAAAACACTGTGAAGGTTTAAAAAAAGTCGAACCTTTACAGCAAAAACACTGTGAAGGTTTTAAAAAGTCACCTTCACAGCATTTTGCTGTGAAGTTTCAAGTGTAAAATGTTGGTCTCACGGGTCTCACAAAAACAGGCTGGTCTCACATAGCGTAGCAGCCATCGCCACGTTGCGGTTTAGGAATATGTTGGTCAATGACCTGACAATCCCCCCAACATCTGCCAACATTAATAAGATCTTCGCTAGAAGACAATGGTTGTGCAACATGCCTTTGTCATTATTCTGCTTCCCATGGGATTCGAACCCGTGACCTGCTCTGATACCACTTGTTAGGATCTAAGCGCTTATCACTACGCCAAAATCAATTGTTGATGGAGAAGACACAACTTATTTTGTTACAGCATAACAGCCAACGCCACGTTTTGATTTAGGAAGATGTTGGTCCATGAACCAACAAGCATAATCAAATTAGATATGATAAATGGATGTTAAAATCGTGTTCCTTAATGGAACTTTCAACTAAGACGTGTACTTAATACAACCAGAAGGTTTTAAGCATCCAAAATATCCTAAAAGATATGCAAGTTATAGAGGTCCATTTATTGACTAAAACAAGCATCTTGTAGTTGGAATATAATTGAGCAATAGTTTGTATACATACATTGGCAAGATCTTGAAACATTTCAAGATTGAGGGTATCAAGAGAGGAAACTTGTCAATGATACATGACATTCAACCGAGCAAGAATTAGTGTCCTAGTACTAAAGAGAACATGAACCGTATGAAAAGGGTGTTCCTTATGCTTGGCTATTGATTCTAGCATATACGTCATGTTATGTATTAAACTGGACGTCTCGTATGCCCTAAGCATGACGAGCATATATTAGTTAAACCCAGGTGATGCTCACTGGGTAGCAGTGGAAAATATCCTAAAGTATCTGAGAAGAACTAAAGATATGTTCTTACTATATGACAATCAAGAAAGAGATATGCGTATTCAAGGGTATACAGATGCTAGTTTCCAAGTCGACCATGATGACTTTAAATCGTAGTCAAGATATATGTTTGTGTTAAACGTTGGAGTTGTGAGCAGGAAGAGCGACAAGCAAGGTACGATTGTAGACTTAACTACGAAATCGAAGTATATTGCAACATCGTACGTCGTAAATGAAGCTGTTTGAATGAAGAAATTCATCTCACTGGGAGTGGTTCCTAGCATATGTGACC